TGTAGTCGTAAACACAAAACAATATAAAACATTTTCCTTACCGAAGGAGTAATTATTTTAGTAAGTATACAAAAAATAAAATCCATTTCAAAATTTGAAATTGCACATAATGTCATATAGCGTGCAGCGTTGCCACTTCTTAAAAGAAACACGGTAATATATAAAATATAATATAGAAAACGGATATCAAATATTGTACATACATAATTTTATGAACTGAATGTTATACAAAAATTATAATTGTTGTGTCAGATATGTAATTAATTGTTATTACATAGTGGGCCTACTTAAAGACGCATACCCACTGTAAGTTGACTTTTGAAGAGCGCAGGAGTTTTGTCTTTGTAAAAATATTCTATGCTCAACGAAATGTTCATCTCACCCGCTAGATGGAGCATGTTGTGCATTTGTTTTATTATAGAGACACGTATCTAACCGTCTCTTTTATTCGTGATTTTCTTCCTTATTTCTTTTTCCGTCGAAGAGGGATTGCCGCAAGATGGTTAGTGAATTAGTGGAAATCCGTTTTTATTTAAAACATCATCATCAATCGCCTTACATCAATCCTGCTATAATTTTCTTTAGTGCAATATGAATAGAAATACATATACATTTTTTTCCATTGTACGGTGTACAACCTGTACACATAACCTTTTCCTTAACGCTGGACGAAAATTCTAAGAATTTCTTATCGTTAATGTTTGATATTTCCTAACTAACTTATAACGATATTGATTAAAACTTAATAACGACTAAAGATCGTGGAAAAATCATTCTATTTTTGTCTGAACTTAATATTACCGAGAAGTATCGAAATTGTTTTCGTTGACAGTAACATGGACGAAAACATGTGTTACTACTTGTTAAAATTTTTTGTGTTAAAAAGTGATCTATATAAAATAGTGATGTGATTGTTTATTTCAGGGTAAGGTTAAGTGCACAGAGATGAGGGCGAAGGATAAGAAGGAGCTTTTGAAAAAGCTCGAGGAGCTCAAAACAGAGCTGACAAATCTCCGTGTGGCCAAGGTCACTGGAGGTGCTGCCTCTAAACTTTCAAAGATGTATGTATAAATTCTGTATTTTTAATTCGTTCATCTAGTCACGTAACTTTTTAGAACACCGCAATAGAGCATTATTTACAATTAGGAAACATTTAGTTGGGTAACAAAGAGAATCAGTTTGGTATTAAAAAATCTTTAAAAAATAACCTAAACATCACTAAAATTTGATTTTAGGTAAGAAAAAATTGAGAGTAAGCTTATGTAATGTTATTAGTTAAATTTAATCATTGAAATATCAAAATTGACCTTTAAAATGTTTGACACATATAATTAAACACCATGTACATCAATTTTAATATATTGATGTTAATTGACATTATTGATATTTTATATTTCAGCCGTGTTATGAGGAAAGAAATCGCTAGAGTATACATTATCATGCATCAAAAGCAGAAGGAGAATTTGCGTCTTTTGTACAAAAACAAGAAGTACAAGCCTTTGGACTTGAGGCCAAAGAAAACTAGAGCCATCAGAAGAGCACTAACACCTTACCAAGCCAACAAAAAGACTCCAAAAGAGATACGCAAGAGGTCTGTCTTTCCTCCACGAAAGTATGCTTTAAAGGTGTAAACTGAGAGGTACTAATAAGGAATAAAATAAACGTTTTTTTAAAAACATTATAACGTATTACTCTGTACAGAAAAACAACGTACGAACTCTAAAATTTATTGAAAAATGCTTTTTATTTTCTATAGAAAAGGGTACAAAAGTTACAGTTAGATAGACAGCTTCTACCAGCTAAAGAATCTAACACAATTCTTGATTGTTCATCGTCTGACGTGACGCTGAATTTTCTTTAATAAGTACTTATTCGAATTTAGTTTACAAAAAACGAAGAAACAGAGCGAATTTATTCCAAACATGATACTATGATACAGAAAGTTTTGCTGGAAAAGTTTTTACGATCGAATGCTTCCAGACGTTGAACGTTCAAGAAACAACAGAAGCTGCTGCGCGAATTTTAAAGGCGAATGCCGGGATTTCTGGAAAGCACGAAGTTGAGAAGCTCGTCGCTGTCCTCACAGACAAACGGTTTTCGGTGGTGGCAAGCCACGTCGTGCCATTTCGTTCCATCGTTGTAGAAATTGTTCAGAATTGACAAGCAGGACTCATCGTTACCCTACAATGCAAACATTTCATTATATACCTTTAAGAATAGTAACTTAAACATATTTCGTAGTAATTAGAATTAAGTACCTGAGCTGCCTCACGGTTGTCAGGTTGCGGCTGACCGTATCCACCGGTGTGACTCCAATCACCAGAGTTACGTTGCGTAGTGGGGCCAATTTTGGCTCCCGAACCAGACCAGAACCACCCATTAACATTTTGCGGCAGAAGATCCTGCCTGTCGCAACCATTGAAATTACATTTACGTCCGGACGTCCAAATGTACCTCACGTTTCCTGTGAAAGGCCACATGTTTAAGTAATACGAAAAACAAAGTGAAATCTACGCATCGACTAAATTGATTTTTAATCGTGATTTACCTCGAACAACTCTCTGCTTAATGAACTCGTTCTCTTGTGGAGTTTCGAGAGAGACTGCGTCCATGCAATGCCTTCTGCAAATGTTACGAGCATCGAGCCAGTCAACCTCCAGGCTTCTAGTCGGTTGATGTTCCCAACTGAAGAAGTATGAGTGTGCAACACCTCTGGCATCTCTGTATGTGGCATGCCGTACCCCTGAAACAGAAGATCGTTTCAATTTACGCTGATTATTTGACGAAGAAAAAATATTAGAAGAATAAATGAAGAGATCCTCACGATTGGCGCAACTGCGTGGATCAGGAAGTGCAAGTCGACGTTGAGCGTCTACTGCGACGCATGCAAGGAGCACTAGCAGCCATAATGTTCTCATGTTTGTGATTCTTAAAAGAGAAGAAAATTATTCAATTTCTGAGGCAGTGGTTAAATTTATCACTTATTCCAATTTGATATAAAAGCTCAAAAAGATTTAATGGTCGTCGACATTTTGCTTTTCCAGTCTCAAGTTTCAAGGAAAAAAATGCATAGAGGAAGAGGATCTTGTTTCAATCTTCATCTCGATAAGAGGAAGCGTTCAAGAGATGATTTTCCTCCGCGAATCTCTAGTAGGTAAAAGTTCCCTGGGAATGAATCTTTGTTGAGGGTGAAAGGAGACTTTTCAGGAGTGAATTATGATCCGAGAAGGAAAGGAGACGCTTCTCGGTGGATCCCTCTCTCACGGCAACGACAGTGAAAAATGCGCGAGGATTTTGCAACAGGTCGACGTTTTTTATAACGCGCCGTTAACTTTCCTCGCTGCTCGACGGTCTTGCAACTTTCTAAATCGTCTCCGCGACACTAGCTGACACCGCGCTATTAATTGAACGTCTGAACGCTTGCTGATTACTATCTGAACAATTACCTCTCAATAGAAACCAACGTATATCCTTAACAATTCACTTTGTATATAAAATCATATGATGATATATTTAGAACTCAATTGCTACTACCAATCACCATTGTCAGCGACGATTGCTACACAATATTAATAGCATTTGAAGGAAGCGGCAGTATGATGTAAAATCTCAGTTAATGAAAAGGAAGTCGCGTCTTAGACAGTCAGGACAATTATTCAATGATCTTGATGCCGTGCTTTCTAGTAATTTAAATAAACCAGTTTCCTGCATTATTCTTTCTGCTCGTGTTCGATTACCGTATTGAATAACAATGACCCGCATTTAGAATTCCGAGCAGCAGGGAGCTTAATGGAATCCTGCTCTTAATGAGATTGCTTTCGCTAAAAATTAGAGTGTCCGCGGCCGTTCACCTGGATCGCGCGAGTGCTCCACTATCCAGGAAGGGTCAGGAGCTATAAAGGAAATAATTGGAAGTTGCGAAAAGGCGAAACCCTTTTGATTACCGTTTGGACGAGCATGAGTCGACGAACCGTGTAATTTTTTTGCAATAGTTTTGGGTGGTAATAACCCATTGATTGTATTGGAGTAGCGGAATAGCGCCAATTACCGGTTGACGTAATGCATTTGCTCTGCCAACCGCAAATTTAATAGAGACATTAAAATTCCTTTCTTTCTTCCTTCTACATCGAAAACCACTGTTCTGGACGGATTTCGTAGATTCAGTTCGGAATTGTTCGCGGATCAATTGAGTACCGAGTGAAAATTCATGTTTAGACGCGACAGAATTTTACAGTCGGAGTATGTTGCAACATGTAATTCGTGCGGAAGGTGTTAGATAGACGATCCTAGACCGGATGAGAATTTCGTCATAATATTGTATTAACAACTACCCCGATTGCGTAATAATTATTGTCCTGCTTTTTCGCGCAGCGAACGGCGCCGTACATTTTCCGGTTAGTCAACACAGAAATTTTGATTAACGTTCACGCCGGCTTACCCGAGATAATTCATACATTATATTTCGAAATTCTCTCTCCGTAATATACAAATATTTTCGAAAGGAAACGCGTGACAAAATGGTATTAGATCATTTTCACCGATCAATACAGTACCGATGGTACAAAAATTAATTTTATCGCTAGGTACATTAGTCGTTGCATGCTTGCGTCCAGTTATAGCAGGACACTGCGGTGGTCGGGTCCACTTTGACCCGGGTTTAAATGAAAACTAAATCAATCGAGCTATTTGATGAGCTTGAAGAAGTAAAATATTGATATACGCAGACGAAGTGACATTAATGAGCGCGTTAATCTGTTCGTATTCTCTTTTGTGCTTAATTTACATTCCATAAAGGTTCGCGTTCTCCGGTGTCATTGTCATTATCTTCGGGGCTACGGGCGACGTCGAAGCATGTGCCCTACTTGAAAACGTTCCAATGTGGGATTTAGATAAGTTTCCCGGCATTCTCGATATTGTTTCCAGGGTTAAGCGGAGTTCAAAGGAGAGGGAAACAGGGAGAGATCGGTGGGTTTATTTCGTATCCGCATGTGTGCCCGTGGAACCGTTATCTGGCCGGCTTTATATCGGCCGGTTACGAAGTTGGCTGTGTCTGCGTCTTTCTTAACGGCTCCTGGGACTGCCGGCGACAAGCACGCTGCATACCCGCGTATTTGGGACGAGTACCGTGATACAAAAAGCGAGCAGTAGTGTGTGCCGATGCGTTCGTTGAAAAAAAAAAAANGCATGTGTGCCCGTGGAACCGTTATCTGGCCGGCTTTATATCGGCCGGTTACGAAGTTGGCTGTGTCTGCGTCTTTCTTAACGGCTCCTGGGACTGCCGGCGACAAGCACGCTGCATACCCGCGTATTTGGGACGAGTACCGTGATACAAAAAGCGAGCAGTAGTGTGTGCCGATGCGTTCGTTGAAAAAAAAAAAAGAAGAAAATGATCTCAGGTGCTGATTCGATTTCGACTTTCGCCCTGATCAAGGTAGAGCATACGTACAAATCAGCGGAGCATTCTATTTTTCGTCACGTTAGCCGCGAATTTCGAAAATGCCACCCTGTGCACCAAGTTCGAATCTTTAAACACGATCTAAATTTGCAATTTAAATTTCCGATTCAACCGAATAATCTAAAACAGATTAAAGAATATTAATATATCTCCGACATAATCTATCCGACACGGCGAATCGTTAAACGAAGTGGCAAACGTTAAAATAAAAATTGTGTAGAGAAAGTGATGAAGTTCTTCGGTAATGTTTTACTTCTTCATAATACCTCTACAAATGTGGGTCAATGGGCACTTACGATGGCGGATATCGATCTATATTTTAGCGTATTTATTCTGTAATAATGAAATCGTAGATTAAATCTTTCCTCGGATTCGCAGTAATCGGTGTTCACATACCGTAACTGAATGTATTTGTAATATATTTATAAAGTGAACAGTGCACACAAGACTCGCAAATGTAATTTGTCGTAAACTTCGAAAGTGTAATCAATGTCGTTAATTATTATTCCGTGCGAGCCCGATATACGAAACCAGATCAGCATGTGAGAAAAACGGTCCCGAAAGTAACTGTCAATCAGCATTTGAATTCCTAACTGAAAATTCGGGTGCTCTGACCCACTCTCCTTGTAAGGTGCACGTCCGGGCAACCTGCCTGCTTCTCTTGTTCGTGTTTCTTTTTTCTTCTTCTTCTTTTTCCTTCATAACTTTTACTTGATCATCGCGGCACGATCGATGATGAGCAGTATTTCCCCTCGCGGCAGCATTCGTTCGTGCAGGTGAATTTTATGCGGGACGAGTCTGGGAGGAGAGCAAGTTCCATTCCTTTTTTCCCTTTTACAGAGATATCGTAAGATCTAGCCGTAATGAATTCCCACTCGAAGTAATGCCTCACGTGCTTTGCAAGTTACATCGTTGCGTAAAACTTGTACCGATCTTACGCAAGGAAAGTACCGCTCCGAAGATAAACCTCTATGCTCGCCGATCGAAGAGAAAGTGTGCGATCTTCAAAACAAGGATGTTTACCTAAAACTTAGAGATCCTGAGACATGGTCGGCCGTTCGAATGCCGCGCGAACGATTTTTACTCTTCACGAGAATATTTCTAAACATCGTTCTAGCTGTGTTTCGTAATTGTTGGTGTGTTAGTGTTGTCGTTGGTCGAACCTGTTGAATATGGAAAGCGTGTGAACGGGCCAGATGGTTCTCATAGTGCGAATTTGGTAAAGGTGACGAGTCTGGAACTGCCTTGGCGAGCNACCGTGATACAAAAAGCGAGCAGTAGTGTGTGCCGATGCGTTCGTTGAAAAAAAAAAAAGAAGAAAATGATCTCAGGTGCTGATTCGATTTCGACTTTCGCCCTGATCAAGGTAGAGCATACGTACAAATCAGCGGAGCATTCTATTTTTCGTCACGTTAGCCGCGAATTTCGAAAATGCCACCCTGTGCACCAAGTTCGAATCTTTAAACACGATCTAAATTTGCAATTTAAATTTCCGATTCAACCGAATAATCTAAAACAGATTAAAGAATATTAATATATCTCCGACATAATCTATCCGACACGGCGAATCGTTAAACGAAGTGGCAAACGTTAAAATAAAAATTGTGTAGAGAAAGTGATGAAGTTCTTCGGTAATGTTTTACTTCTTCATAATACCTCTACAAATGTGGGTCAATGGGCACTTACGATGGCGGATATCGATCTATATTTTAGCGTATTTATTCTGTAATAATGAAATCGTAGATTAAATCTTTCCTCGGATTCGCAGTAATCGGTGTTCACATACCGTAACTGAATGTATTTGTAATATATTTATAAAGTGAACAGTGCACACAAGACTCGCAAATGTAATTTGTCGTAAACTTCGAAAGTGTAATCAATGTCGTTAATTATTATTCCGTGCGAGCCCGATATACGAAACCAGATCAGCATGTGAGAAAAACGGTCCCGAAAGTAACTGTCAATCAGCATTTGAATTCCTAACTGAAAATTCGGGTGCTCTGACCCACTCTCCTTGTAAGGTGCACGTCCGGGCAACCTGCCTGCTTCTCTTGTTCGTGTTTCTTTTTTCTTCTTCTTCTTTTTCCTTCATAACTTTTACTTGATCATCGCGGCACGATCGATGATGAGCAGTATTTCCCCTCGCGGCAGCATTCGTTCGTGCAGGTGAATTTTATGCGGGACGAGTCTGGGAGGAGAGCAAGTTCCATTCCTTTTTTCCCTTTTACAGAGATATCGTAAGATCTAGCCGTAATGAATTCCCACTCGAAGTAATGCCTCACGTGCTTTGCAAGTTACATCGTTGCGTAAAACTTGTACCGATCTTACGCAAGGAAAGTACCGCTCCGAAGATAAACCTCTATGCTCGCCGATCGAAGAGAAAGTGTGCGATCTTCAAAACAAGGATGTTTACCTAAAACTTAGAGATCCTGAGACATGGTCGGCCGTTCGAATGCCGCGCGAACGATTTTTACTCTTCACGAGAATATTTCTAAACATCGTTCTAGCTGTGTTTCGTAATTGTTGGTGTGTTAGTGTTGTCGTTGGTCGAACCTGTTGAATATGGAAAGCGTGTGAACGGGCCAGATGGTTCTCATAGTGCGAATTTGGTAAAGGTGACGAGTCTGGAACTGCCTTGGCGAGCACAAACGAAAAACAGCTACGCCCGTCTATCAGAGTGGCGGTCGTTAATTAAAGGTAATCTACCAAGGTATCGTTAATTAGGGGGATCTTCCATTACGAACTCCTTTGTTCGTTGAGACAAAGGGGACGATAGTTTGTTTAGCTTTAGCAAAATTAATTTGCCGTAGCAAATTTGAGCAACGTCGTCCAATTAAAAAACGGTGAAACATAGCCGTTCCTTCGCGATTAAAGGAATTACCTTTTCTTACGCTTATAGTCGTGATAGTTGTCCCGCTATTACTTTAGGCTTACAACATAGGAGTGGACATATAAAATAAAATCAATAACGTATTTTAGGTGATTCCTTTCATAAAACAAGCGACAATTCTTCGCCCCTTTTATAGATAAATCGGTCACGCATGCCCGATATGTAACTCCTTCAATAATCGATCATACTCCTCCCGAAATGTAGCATTTTTATTTCCGCGTTTTGCCCACCGAAGAACGAAATATACCAAGTTATCGAATCGAAATTACTAAAAATACGTCACTGTACAGTTCTATGCCGTCTCGAAGCACACGAATCTACTTAATTAAACACTTCTCCTTTGCGGAGCGATTTGAATCCATGCGCACGCAGCGCACGGAAATGGCGCGCAACCGCGGATGAACGCGCGAAAACGGTTAATAGACGAAGAAGGATCGGCAAAGAGAAAGCTACCGGCGATTTCTGCGCAGGTCATGCGATGCGACCGTTCGATCGTGAGGTCGTCGCTTTCGATTTCTCCGGGTGCACTTACCCGCTGATACTTCCTCGGTCCCTTTACTTTAGGCTAGGTCCTCGCGAGATCCCACCGAATCGAGAGAAGCTACCGAATGGTGTCGTGAAATGGTACGACTGACGGGAAATTCTCTGGTTGCTGGTGTTACGTCCCGTTCTCGGCTGTCCGTGTGCTTTTCGGCTGGGCCAAAGCTGACGCAAAGCTCGTCAACGACTTGTCGATCGCGACGAGAAAGAAGAATGAACTGCGGCGTACGAGCCTGCAACCGGTATATAGCCGGCCCACATTCCCTTCTGGCTCGAGTAACCCAGATTCTTCCCACCCGACCGTCTGGGGAACATCTTCGGGGGCCTGAAAGGGGCCCTGGATAATTCCCAGCTTGCCCCAGCACCTCTCACTGATCGTTCCCCTCACCCGTTACCTTCGAGCTTCCTCGAAGCCGCCGGCTTTCGGAGACAGAATTCGTTTTTCTTCTGCAGCGGGATCAGTGTTGTCGCAAGCAATTGACTCTCGAAAAGGAATTGTCCTTCCGCCACGGAATCGTTGACTTCCTCGCGATCTTAATCACCGAGTTGATTGGAAAATATTAATGCCTTCATGACTGTTTCCTCCTGAAGAGGTTTCGATTACTTTTTCTTTTTTTTTTATCTAGGTAATGTCGTTATGGGATTAGGAATGAGTCATTGTTACTGAAAATGAGCATACGCTTATGAGAGAACATGTTTCGAACGATTAAATCTTGTACTGTGCTCGGGTCAATGACTTTCTTTTGTATGTATGGAACGCAATTGTAGGATTGTGAAATTTCCCGTTGCGGGTCAGAATAGACCCGGTCTTCGGCGTGCGTTCGGTTACTGGATGATGTACCAAAGGTGAATAAAACACACAGAAGCATGCACGTACTTTTTATAATTTGTTTATAGTTAAATATAGTCAATTCCGTACATACACATCACTGGCAAATAATTGTTGCGGTGCTAAACAAAGAATAATTGCTCTAAGTCAATTGGTAACTCAAGGTTCGTCGCTCTAAAAATATATTGCCAATATTATTTGCCAATGTGTTTCCTAGATGATACTATATACTTTACAGGATAATATGCTTTACAATTATATGAACTTTATGGATCAATATAACAAAACTTCGGATCATGTAATCGTAATGACTTTCTGTAACGTTGGACGAGGATAGTTTCTCATCTTTAAATAAAATTGGTTCTCTGCTGCAATATAGTTTGCAACGTCCATTAATTGTGTATTATATAAAAATAATCCAGGCCCTACAATATACTATCTAGAGTACATTGTAACCCAAGCACCATAAAATCACTCAGAAGCTCATTCTTCCTCCTGAATGCATTTTTCTACTAACTCCTTTAAACTCGGATTTTCCATAGCGGCTGCTATTCGTTCTTTATCGTTTATTTGTTTGTTTACTGAAACATAAAAGTTCAATGAATAGATTGTAATATTTTATTGTTCTTTATAATAATAGATGACACTTGCTTTCTTGTTCTGTTGAATGAGCACCTTTCTTAATAAATATATCTAACTTGAAAAGAGCTGTTAATTGCCGTTCTAACTTAATCCTGATGCAAAGACCAATTAATGTTGCCAATGTACAATGGGGAACTGTAGGATTGAATTCTATGCGTATTACAGATACCCCTCCAGGTGTTTGTTTGGAAATTTCTACACAGTCTTCGTAGACAACGTCCAATTGTTCCAAAGTTTGAGGCTTCTCAGGGTCTTTGATCGTTCGAAGTAAATCTGGAATAATTTTGTTTTATGAAGATAATGTGTAAGTAAAACTTTGATTATATAAGTTTTAACAACATATTAAGCGACCTTGATTTAACATGTGACTTAAAAATGTAAATTGTAAATGGCTAATCAGTTGCAAAACCAACAAATAACAGACTTAAGAGAGCAGAGAGATTACTGGTTAGTTTGTACGTGATAACAATTAATCTACAGGGGGGTCCTAATACACGTGGTGGATTTAGAATGAATTTAACGTTTGAACTTGCCATAAATGGATTCTTTTAGCTCGATGTCTGCTTGCGAGGCTACAGCTCGATTAGGATAACTTTCGGTAACCTCCATTCCGTTCCCTGTTAGAATGCCATCTCTTATCTTTCTCCCGCCTGATATTTTTCGTAAAAACGACAACATTCTGCCCCGTGCCCCCTCGCCCTTTATAGCGATTCAATGATGTATCATTGCAGTTTGTTTATATTATGGCTGACAATATCGATGAACCTAACCTCCATCAACTTCTGCGGTAGACCGCGTGACAAGCTTCGTCTCTGTGGCGCGGTAGTTCAATGTCAAAGTTTGAGTCACGCTATTCAAAATGAATTTCTTTACAAATTATTATAATATGACGAATTTCCAAGACAATACTCATTACAACGTCATTCCATTTAATTATTCTATTAAATTATTAACGAACCATGCGAGTTTATCGATATCTAATGAATCCGTGCTATAGTTTGAATTTGAAACTTTTCTGCGCGCTCTCGTTTGGCATTTGCCGCAAGTACAGTTAGCGTGAGTCGCTTTTTATTGCGCAGAACAATTCCGCCCGACTTAAAAGAGTGTTCATGAGCGATTTGTACATCCATTTGTTTATGTTTGTACACGTTTGCATAATATGAACACGTAGAAACATTCTAAGCCTGTTTCTATATGCAGAGGAAAGTTTCCATAAATTAGCATGCGACGTTTCTACAAATTGTAACCAACCGAACAAGTTCCAGGTAAGCGTGTGCAATAAGAGATGAAGAAATTTCGCATTCCCATTAACATGCTATTCTCGTTGCCATAAAATATTAAAACGGCATACGACATACCCCAGGTGATTCATGCACGAGAACAGCTGATTCGAATGTTTTCGTTTGTGGATTATGTATTGCGGTATTGTCGCGCGAGAGATTCATAGGTGAAGATTCGGTTCGTCGTAGAGCCAGCTCCTTCATAGATGGCGCAACTATGGCGTTCCCAAGGACAAATTCGATTTCAAAATGAAGTGGTACCGATTATCGTTGGACAAGACGCACTTCGTGGGCTGGTTCAATGACCTAGAAGGCTGTTCAAGGTTACGGACAGGTAGTAAAACTAACTGAACTAGTTTTGATATTTAATAGGTAAGATTGCATGATATTTTCGGTTAAGTTCGTCGAGCTTCTAACCTTGACTGTGCCGGGTCACTGAACTAAGTTTCGAAACAACAATATTCGGCACAGCGGAAAAATTAAATTATCATTACAGTACCGTCCCTGGAATTACCTTGAACGTTCAATAGCGAGGAACGATTAAATGAACAATCATCTGTCTGGAAACAGTTACAGGGTGACAAAAAAGGAATTCCGTAATTTGCTGCTGTAAGAGAACTATTTCTGGTAGAAGAAAATTAGAAAGCAGTAACTTGAGATGCAAAACATAATGCACACGCTAGAAAATGGGTTGATCTTTTTGTCCTGGGAAACTAGAAACCGTTTTTGGTGCATACCTTTGCCCATATACAAGATGAACCGTGTATTGTTAATGGTTTGTTCAAGAACTATTGACGGTAATAACAAAGTTCTGTTCCCTATCGTTGACTTCAGCTAACACGTGATAATAATAAAAATGTACAGACGTATCTAGAACATCGGCCCGTGTTAAAAAAAATATGCATCATCCACCTCCTTGTGCGTCTAGGGGCGAATAGGAGAGTCCATAGTGCGGAGATCGCGACCCCGATGCAGCCGGGTCAACGCGAATGATCGGATTCAATCTGATGTTATGTCCGCGAAAGAGCGACCGTCTCTCGGGTGCCGTCAGGTTGCGCACGCTCCGTTCCGCAGCGTGTGCACGCAGAGGCTCGTCGGTCTCCGTCGGAGGAACAACAACTTGGCGAATTCGAGGAAGTTAACGGCCGGCCTCCAGGTGATCCTCCGTGAAACCGCGAAACACATTCGTTCCGGCATGGCACCGCAAATGAGGTTTTAAGGTGAGAGAACGGTGCAACGGTGCCCGAAGAATGCGAAAGCTTTCTAGAGGGCCCGCCGTTCTGTTTAATTTACCAGCCACTCTGTGACGAAGCGTGAAACTTAAAACGCGCCACGCGTTCACGCCGTCGAGATGTCCCGTCAGGGAGGTCTTCACGGCGTTGTTCGTCGATTAGGCTGACGGAGCGTCTTCCCTCCTTTACTGTCGCGCCGTCTCCTAACTGTTGTTGTTTGCCTGACCAGACGCTGACATCGAGCACGTTCCCCCTTCACGAAGGTAAGCGCATCAGAATCTTTACCGTGAAACGACCACAACCCGCTGGACCGGTCTCCCAGACGCGTTCTGACCCAATGTTTCTGAATATAGATCATTGCGGGCAAGACTCAGCACCACCCAATGCGCGGACACCAGGACTTAGTCGTTTACTAGCTTCTTTCACGGGCAATTGATGTAACCCGGTCTGCAAACCGCCTCAAAATTCGAGGAATCCTGGATAAATCCTATCGGAAGCGTCTTTCAATCGCCAGGTGAGTCTCGCTGTTTGTACGCTTCGTTCATCCTCATCGTGCTGAATGGTAACGGATCGATCTGTTTGTTTTTTAAGGTATCCCGCGATATTTTCCATCGATTTTGCAAGTACGGAATGTTGGTGATCTTGAAGTGTCCTTGACAGTTCGTTAAAGAATGCTAATGACGTGCACCCGGAGAATGCAGAGACACTTCAAGGTCACGCCGTGAAATATATGTGAAAACATCGTTGAAGTGATCTCGCACGAATTATTCTCGGCTTTTCGCTTTTTTTGATAATGCCAGGGCAGATAGCAGACACAGGGCGCTAACAATAACTTGGAGTGACTCATTCTTTATGTGAAATGGAATAGCAGGCAGCAATTCGAAACCCAAAGCTTTTTCATTCTCTCATCGATCTGAGAACGGATATTTTCTATCACGTTGTCGTTCGAAGCCAATTATCCTGCTAACTACTTCGTCAGTGGAGAACCATGGTCTTGGACCCGATGACTAACAAGCAATTGCTCTGGTGTTTGGACTATACTCAGAACATTTCTTTCCCATTATCGTTTGCAAATAGAACCGAGGAAATAGGAAAAATTCATCGGTGGTTGTTAGGGGCCAGACCTATACTTGGATAAATAGGGTATATAGGTCGGTAATGATTAGTTTGCAACAGAGGCTAGATCGAGGCTATCGATTAACTAAGTCATGGCAAGCGGTTAAATTGTACAACGTAAACGCGTTACATGAAGTTGATCATTAATTGCAACGGAGGCACGTTGCAAAGTTTAAATAAATCGACGGTGTGTTCAATATGAAAAAATGACTGTGTTCCTATATATGCATAGAAGATCGTTCGTTTAATTGCTAGTGTAGTAAACTGCCAGGAGATAAAATCGATTTTACGTAGATGGAGTAACATTCGAAAGGGATGTCCAGTTCCCTGGAAACAAGTCTAACTAGGTCCGCAAGATTATTGATTGTCGCAACGCGAAAGTCATAAAAACACTAGTTCAATATCTTCGAATCGTGTTGTTAGAATCAATTGGCCACCTCGACCGATAAAACAGAACTCTCGTGGAAAATTTCTGCACACTTATCGTCATATTTGACTATTTCCGTAACGCAGTCAGCAAACGCTTAACTACTTATAGGAAATATCTTCTTCGTTATCTCCTTTTAATCGTTTTATCATTAATTACACAATCTCTTGCATTGCGCTGTAGTATTTACTACATTGACTATATTTATTTGTAGGTTTTTGTGAAATCTGTACATTGCTCCTGGAAAGGAAAAGATACGGAATGGAGTAGATATAAATTGTGACGTCAGAAGATAAATAAGTTGAAGGTAATCGAAGCGGTTTTGGTTACTGTGTAATAGAGTATAATTCATGCTCGTGGATGAAATTCTAAGAAAAATTAGACTTTAAAACAAATGGAGACTAAAAATGAAGTATCATTAGATATTAATTCGACGAATTCTAAAATTTTTAGTAACGGGTTTGCGCGAACCGGCTGAATTTGATCACGGGTTCGGGATTAAAATGGATAATTTAAAACACCCGGTCTTTTCTCTACTCGACCACTGTCCTCTCATTCAAAATCCCAAACTACCCAGATCAGTCTCATCCAATTGGCAATCTCTCCACACAATAGGCACAAAAGTCCTACAAAGAGCAACGAAATTTCCAAATCGAATAGCTGGATTTATCAGAGGCTCACTGACCCTAACTACAATTTGACCCAGTAAGTACCAAGATCATTGTAAAACAAATCAATCCTCAAGGGACCATTTAACCAGATAATGGATCTCCGATAGTCATTCAAAGATTCTCATTAGTAAAGAGTCATTACGTAATGCACATCTCGGATATACATACAACGAGTATGTATTGCGTTGACTGTATATTCGTTCTGATAGCTATACATACACACATACGTACTGTACATACGTGCCTTCTCCCGTGACTATTTGCAGGTACGTGCGCGTGCGCAAGATCCCCCACTGCAGAATTCGTCGAGCGAATTATCGGAACCGTTTGGCAACTGATTGAACTGGAGGTGAAGAGAGAGGACTTGACGGTGGAACGATGCCGCAGCCACGCTGGTGGAACGCTGTTATCGCGGCCGGTCGGACTAGAACGTGGGAACAACGGACTGTTTCCGCGGGGTCAGGGACGCCAGGAGGCAGAGCATCTGCACGTTTGACGGCTGCGGAGACGGTAGTCCTGCGATCGGCTGCTGACCGAGCACTTCGTCGCGGCATGGCGAGCGTCACACCCGGCAGCAAGGTCCTCACCGAGGACACTGTCTTTACCAACCTGAGGAAGATGGAATATGCTGTGCGCGGACCTCTTCTCATCCGCGCCATCGAAATCGAAAAAGAGCTTCAGAAGGTAAGCACCCACGCAGACCGACCAACGATCAACTAATGCACACCCCAGAAGCAGATGCATTCCTCCAGCTTGATCTACATATGTACATATATCGTGTGCAACGGCGAACACGATGACAAATTTGAATGGACGCGCATATAGGACTGGGCGGAAGAAGTTTGCGAATCTTTTATAAAATGTGCGGATGAATGGAAATCACGACCACAGTGTATCAGGTCCACTGTTTTCCAAAATTACAGTTTACGTCAGTCAAATTTTGCATTCTTTCTGATGCTAAGTGCTATATTGGTCGTAGCACTTTTACACGGATTTGTTGATTATTCACAAGTAAACAAAGTACATTATATTCTGAAAAATAATATGCCATTACACTTTCTATGCGTTTGTGCCAACGTACTAGTAATTAATAAATATGGAATGTAATGATGATTACAAGATTTAAATTTATATTACAATTAATGAATTAATTTATACATCTAATTTGTAATTACTTGTTTGGTTCTTGCAATCTGCGTGTGCATCAAATGCATAAAAATCCATAGTCTAGTTATGATATCAAGTTCGAAATTGTTTTAACTTTCAAAGATGTGAGGAAATATATTGTTTTGCTTTTGTTTCATAATCATATACATAACTTGAGCTTTGTTTCCATTATTTACGATAATGTGGACTGATATTAAGAAATTAGGGCTAATAAATGACTGTAAGAATACTTGTGAATAAGTGAAATAACTATAAGACTAATCACACAGAGTATGATTAATTTAAAAATCATGAAGCAAGTGAGTTGAATTGAGGAAATTATTTAAAGAAAAGAGGTTATGTTGGTACAAAATATGCTTGTGTCGCAAAATCTTAACGAGAAGAGTTTACGATAGTCTATTAATACCTTAAGTAAATATTGTATCATATCGTCGTAATAAAGATATCTTTTTTTAATTCAATAAAGGTGGGCACGATAAATGATGATAAGAAAGCTAAAGTTCAGTAGTTGCAAACTAATCTTTGCATAAGTATATATATTTCTATTTCGATTCGTACATGTCTAATCCTACATAACCGTGATTTAATTATTCGGAGCTTTTCAAATTTAGGTACGAAAGCCCGCGAAATTCAAATCAGCCTATTACAAACTTAATTGAAAAAGTGTTGATTCATGTTTAGTTTTCGAAAATGTACTGAATAATTTATTATTATGTTGTACCATATGTTGTTCGGTAAAAATATTTCTTCGCATCAGTTAACTCTACTAGCGTGACAATTGGCTGGTGTATCCTGTTTCAACACAATTGACATTTCCGTTATCGCTTAACATGTTTACTGTCATAATTCTTATCATTTAGAAACATAATGATTATAAAATAACACATAATAACTATAATTACAATACAAATTAGCATGTAATGGTATGACGTTGATTAACTTGCAGCAAGGTAACTAACAAGAACGACAGAACTTTTGTAACAATCGAACATTAGAAATAACATAATACGTTGCAAGCTCTTCAGTTTGGAAATTTGTAAATAATTCACAATTTCATATGAACTGCGTGTCGATTATTTTTCTGCATACAATCTCAATTTTTATCGATCGATTAAACCACCTGTCGCAGAGTCAGCTATCGAAGTATTACCAACTAAAAATAGAGTTTCGATTATCGCGTAATATCAATGCAACTGAACTACTTTCCGAAATAACGCGGAAACGTTCCAAATGCGACTGATGTAAATATCAACGGTTCATAACTCAAGCAATAATGCGTGCTTTTTACGTCGCGATTGTAAATCATGCGTGGTTACAAAGCACTATATTGCAGCTTACTTAGTAATGTGACTTGTCTAAGCGGTTTGCCGTTTGGTCACGTAATTCGAAACCATAAACCAAGGTAAGGCAAATAAACATTTCGCAAACTTATGACATCCTACGTTCACAGAACGATGGTAACATTAACCATAAATACCACTTATTTGCATAGTTATATAGTTGCATAGATACGAAAAGAGCCAAGGCCCGCCATAAAAGGAACTATCCATTTATTGTTATCGGTTGTCATTATTATACTTTTCCGATCATCGTTTATTGAAATTGACGTTTGTAGTGAGTCTCTTTAAGTTAAAAGCCATAATGAAGCCCACACAACGGAAATTCAATTGCCTTGACAAATAACCTTTAAATCACTATTTAAATTTTTTTTTAAATATCTTTTGTAAAACAAACTCGACAGATAGCGCTTTTAATGTGAACATTCAAATTGTATTTTCTAGAATGGCATTAAATGGAATTATCTTGATAGTTGTAGAGTTCGAATTAATTATTATCAGTTATTGTTATTATAAACAATTAGTTTGGTTATTGCAAACGTGTAAAAATCTTGTAATATTTCGATAGTTACGCAATTCAGTTAATGAATTTGCTAGCAATACTGCATGATCAGACTTTCAATGTACCGAGTGATTATGAGTCATACGGTTCAGTAGTGCCAACAATTGTTGTTAGCGCGTGATATGCAAAGTACAAGTTTAAACTGAAGCTGGAAACCGATCGCACCACCGCTAAACATGTTACTATACTAAGAATGTTTGTCACTTATAAATTATACATAGTTTTTACTTCTATAAATTAATAATTTATTCCTTTTCAACTTTTGTGGCCATTCATTTAAAAAACGCGGGCTTCCATCAAAACTGTACGCAACCTTGGATATAATTGCAATACTAACATGAGATCCTCAGTATGATTTCAGATTTCTAATAACACTAATCATGACTAATCTTTCAGCAATAACTGTGAAATATTACGAGAATAATTTTATTCGGCCTTTAGTTTTTCTCTAATCAGTTTTTAAAATAGTAATTGCGATTTTTTCTATACTGTATATTATGATTTTTTTAGGAATATAATTATTTAAATAATTTCATGGATTTTCAGTATTCCAAAGATTTTCATAAAAATCGACTTTTCAACTTTTTTCTAAATTAAATATCAATACTGATTTGTACTAGATATTTATCAATAAAATAAGATAAGATAATAATATTCTACACAATGTATATATGTAATGCTTAACTTTGAGATAGCAGTGACAATTATATCAATTTTTGAAACTCTTGAAGTTCAGATTAATTGTGGATCAGCAAATAACATTGAATAATGCATTTATAGGATTAATATTTATTTCATACCAGTTATGATGAAATTCTTTAAATTATACTTCATTAATTACCATTATTTTTTTAGGGAGCTAAGAAACCATTCAAGGAGGTGATAAAAGCCAATGTGGGAGATGCACATGCCATGGGTCAGCAGCCAATTACTTTCTTGAGGCAAGTACTGACTCTGACAGTATCACCGAATCTCCTCAATGATCCCAGTTATCCCGAGGATGCAAAGGAGCGAGCTAGGACCATCTTGTGCGGATGTAAAGGAGGCAGTGTTGGCTCATACTCGGAGTCAGCAGGGATTGAAATCATCCGCAAGCATGTTGCCGAGTATATACAGGACCGTGATGGACTTCCGTGTGATTACCATAACATCATCCTCTCGAATGGTGCCTCAGATGGAATCAAAGTGTGCAGATTATTTCTCTTATATACTTTATAAATATTCAATATATCTTATGCATTCTTTTAAGTAAGATCTCCAAGCTTTATAGTGACATCCATGATAAGCACTTTTTGTTTTTGTTACATCTTTGTATCATGTAGGAGTCATTACTGTGTACTTTAAGAGATAAGAAAATATGTCATGTGTAGTTATGTGCACTTTGTCTTGTTACAGTCAGTCCTGAAACTGTTCAATGAAAGATTGGATGGAAAGCCATCTGGTGTGATGGTCCCGATACCACAGTATCCACTTTACTCTGCCACAATAGCAGAGTTTGGTCTTAATCAGATCAGCTACTATCTAAACGAAGAGAACAAGTGGGCATTAGATGTATCTGAATTAGAGAGAGCTTTGAATGACTCAAGAAGAAATTGCAACCCTCGTGTATTAGTAGTGATCAACCCTGGTAACCCAACTGGCCAGGTTCTCACACGTAATAATATTGTGGATGTCATTCACTTTGCATATAAAAATCGATTATTCTTGTTGGCTGATGAGGTTTATCAAGACAATGTGTACGATAAGGATAGTGCCTTCCATTCTTTCAAAAAAGTTATGACAGAGATGGGAGAACCATACTCTAAAATGGAGTTAGCGTCTTTCATGTCTGTGTCTAAGGGTACGTTTATAATTATTAGTAATCAATGTATATTTTTCTTTTTTATTATTGTTATTTTCTAATAGGATATATGGGTGAATGTGGTATCCGCGGTGGATACGGGGAACTAATTAACATGGATCCCAAAGTTATGGCGATTCTGTTGAAATCAATCTCAGCAATGTTATGCCCCACTGTTCTGGGTCAAGTTGTCATGGATGTAGTGGTAAATCCACCAAAACCCAATGAACCGTCTTATCAATTATTCATAAAAGAAAGAGCAGACACTCTCCGATCACTGGCAGAGAGATCACGGCTAGTGGTTGATACATTAAATAGCATTCCAGGTTTCAAGGTATTGAAAAATATCCTGCAGGCTTTTATTTGTTTTGAAAAATTTTACAAATTATTAATGTTTCACACTTATTGGTGATCACTAGATAATACAAGATTAATTAAAATTTTTCTTGAAATTACAGGTGAATCCAGCCATGGGTGCTATGTATGTCTTTCCAAGATTGGAATTACCAAAGAAAGCCGTAAAAGCAGCCGAAGCAGCAGGTCAACTGCCCGATGTATTCTATGCTTTTAAGTTATTAGAATCTACAGGTATTTGCGTGATACCTGGATCAGGTTTTGGCCAACAACCCGGGACCTATCATTTTAGAACAACGATTCTGCCGCAAAAAGAGAAAATGAAGGAAATGCTTAGGAACTTAAAACAGTTTCATCTTAAGTTCCTGGAAGAGTACAAATAAACGTACAATTGTAACATTGTTGCATTTTTTAGTACTTGAAATGCCAGGATAACGATGTGCAGATCATCAAAATTTATATGAATTGTTTTTAATCTTACGGAAACTTTTTAGAGGCAATATTCGCATTTTCTAACAATATATTACAAAAACTATTTACACTATTATCGAGTAGTTTACTATTGCAGCACGAATTCTGGCATAGATAGGATACTATTCTAATAAATCTGTTAGAATTGTGTAGACAATCGTCTGCACAAATGATGAATTTCGCGATTCTTCGAATGCTTGTACATACAATACGAATTTGTTATTACATTGAAAAGTTGATGGTATTCACTTCTTTTTCAGAATCGTTTAATGTGTGGTCGGTGTGTATGTGTATAGTAATTATAAATAATGATATCGCGAGATTATACGATATGTTTTTATAATACTCACAACGATTTTATCGGATCAAGTATGTTTAGACAGCTTTTACTGGTTACTTGAATTTCCACTCGTTGTTTATGTTACTAAAATACTTTATTCCAGAGACATTGTGAACCTGTTCAAAACGATTACGGGTTCAGGTTGTTCAGGTTTTCTATAGGCCCCATAAGTGCAACAAAATCAATTCAATTGAAATGTCTAGCTTAAGTGTATACATTTGCCCAAGATCCTCAATGTGTTCTTAATCAAAATTCCAATTATTGATTATGAGTAACTTAGTGATTATCTTAAACTTGCCAGATATAACTTCCCTTAATATTCGTTGTTAACATATTTAGTGGCATTGTAAAATATATTTTTTTATTGTTTGGTGTTAACTATTTCAATGAAATAATACATACTACACGTACTTATGATATTGAATATCACATGGATGATTTTGATTAAATATTTGTGCAATCACGTGAGATTTAGGAGCTTTAAACATTTGAACACGATCCTATATGAGAAGACAATATTATATTTGATTGCATGTCTTTTGAGAATGCATACCACCTGTATGCTTTTACACTTGTAATTGTTTTCTCAGTGCATAATCTGTTACTACTGTAAGCAGAAACATGTTCACTGAAAGAGACCAACGATCAGAAGGTATAAAATAATTTTCTGAAGAAAAATTAATAAAAAATAAAGAAGTTATTGTACCATATAAAACTTATGAAAGGATGCTTTATTCTTAATTTTTATTACATGATGTATCTTTCTCACAGTATCTTAATTCTCACTGCGTATTGCCTTAACTTAGATTATTTATAATTCTTCTATAAGTCACTAGCGAGCCTCTCAATCTCCTCTGCGAAGAATCTCATGTCTGTTTTCGTCAGTCCAGAATTCTGCAGGACGAGCCTAAAGAAGTTCGGTAATTCCCTCAACGGTTGATAAGTGATCAGCATCGATCCCTTCTTGACCATGCGTTCCTTCACCGTCGGCCCAATTTTTTGAAGAGCCTTCGACAACTCTTCACCCTTCAAGTGACGTTTCGAAAACGGCACGTACCAGAAGCAGACGTTAGTGCACTCGGGCTCGAGCAGCAGTTTGAAGCCCTCTCTCTGTTTCACATAATCAGTAAAATACTGAGCTAACTCGAACACGCGATCCACGTGCTTCTCCAATCCTTGAGTGCCCTTTGCCTTCCACATGAACCAGAATTTCAATACATCTGCCCTTCGACCACACTGCACATGTTTGTCTCCATTGTCGTAAGAAGTATCATAGAACTTATCTGGCTGAAAGAGATAGCTGGCTTTGGAGCCATGTGCAGCCTGCAAGAGTCCTTGATGGCGTAATAGCAGTGTTGAACATTGTTGTGGCGCAGCAAGCAACTTGTGAGGGTTCCAGGTAACAGAATCTGCCAGCTCAATACCATCCAGACGGTGTCTGTAAGTTTTAGACATCAATGCTCCTCCACCCCAAGCTGCATCTACATGAAACCACATATTATGCTTCTTGCAGATGGCTGCTATATCTTTCAGAGGGTCGTAAGCTCCCAAGACAGTTGTTCCAGCTGTAGCAGAGACCATCAGAGGAATAGCACCTTCGCTGATGACTTGATCAATCTGAACCTTCAGATCTGTGATAGACATCTTGCCATTGGAATTTGTCTTCACCTCATAGACATTGCTGTTTCCTATTCCCAAGAATGCACTGAGTTTCTTAACCGAATAATGAGCATCCTGCGAAGTGAAAACTATCAGTCTGCCAGCACTGGACATGCCTAACTCTTTTAATTGTGGAAACCTAGGGATAATCACTCAATTAATGTGATAAATGAATCTCAAGTGTTAGTGATAGGTATCAAAGTCAGTACCTGTAGTAACGAGCCAGATTGATGGCATAGCCATTAGCGATGGAGCCGCCTGGACAGAATATGCCGTCGCCTCTACCATCCTTCCAACCAACTATCTTTCTCATCTCTTTCAACAATTCTTCCTCCATCAAGGAGAACACTGGTGAGACTTCGTAAGTGTACACTGAAGGATTTAGAGCGTCTGTCAGCCATTGTCCGAGAAGACCGTACGGGTCTACGCTGGAATACAGTTGGTTCACAAACCGAGGATGACCTGTTTTCACGCTGTACTTGATCACGTTGCGAGCCAACAAGAACAGCTTATCGTGCGAGCATCCTTGATCAGAGAGCGTTAGATCAATGGCTGAATGGAGCGCCGTTGGCTCCATCCATTCCACCACACGATTTTTTCTCGAGGTCCCCTAAAGGATTATGAAAGGTAATTCTACAGCATAATAAAGAGTTAAGGTCATTTTAAAGTTCGTTGCTAGGAAATTATACTTCTGATGCAAATAACAGGTATAATTAAAGAAATTCAAGATAAGTGGAGGAAGCAAACACATTTAAAAACTTTTCCAAAGAAAAGAGATCATGGCTGTTCTGCTTCATTGAAGTATAATGTAACGCTTTCGAATTTTTTTTTATTCGACCTTCAGCAAACATTTTCACAGCATTATGACTATTCAGTCTGAAGAACTAACTTGTATCCAGAATTAAATTTTATAATATATATCTTTATAGAAACCATTAAGATGAAGCTGGTGGCAAATGTTACACTGTTCGATCAATTTTTTACTTTTTCCTAAACTATTTTTTGTTTCGTCGATATCGTTTAATTTTGAAAGAAACTAAATGTCCACAAAAGTTAAATTGTTCTTTTTGCTTTAATAATTGTTTAAACATGTGTACATATTAATAATGTGATTTTCTTTTAGAATTACACATCCAAAATATAAAATGATTTACAGTCGAGATATCTATTGAACAGTGCCATTTCTGTTGGCATTTCCTTGATGCTGAAGCCTCAGGTAAGTGTGCCACAGTGATTTCAAAAGCGTCAGTAGGAAAATCTAATTGTATTTCTCGGTGACGCACTCTTTTATCTGCTTCGCCTTAGGCGAATTGCGAATTGCGGCAGTCACTCGCATTCATCTACGGCGTAATTCTTTGTCCATGAATTGACGGACTGTCATTAATTAGCGAGGGAAAAAAATGTATGAAGAACATTTGAGTCACAGAGAACAAATGGAAGGGAAGTCGGACTCTTAACGAGTCTCGATGATCAATGACATCTTTCACAAAACGTTTTGCATTGTAATTTGTATTTTACTGCTTATGCAACTTCATATGGAACTGGTTTTATGTTTAGAAAATGATAATCGATGTTGGAGCAACCATTCATTTCGAGAAAGAGTTCAGCTTATCCTCTTTTTTATTGCAACGTAAATGCTGCTCCAAAATTCCATGTTCACATACAATTTGATGCAATATTTGATGAAACAATGGTAGAATTATACGAACGTTAAATATGAATTTACATATAAACATCTAATTTACATATATCACGTATACGCGAGTATATTACATATTACTATTATGCATTAATTGTTTTCTGTTACGAATGCATCGCAATGAATTATTTAAACGTAATGAAAATTTCTTATAAAAAAATATTCTTTTGTTAATTTTTTATGTTGTCAGAAACGTTCTATTAACAATTAGTCTTTCTGCTGTTTCTAATATTCTTGATACCATTTAAAATAATAAACTTTTTATAACAGGAAATATCCTCCCACATGAACACTCTGGGTCAACAAAGGCATCTACAAAATAAATTCAAGTGTCTCTGTTTCTCATATTAAATCAGGTAAATCTATTAAACTATGAATAATATTATTAAACTCTATTAAACTGTATAAGAACATAATTAAATACTGGAGTCTCTTTAATAATCAGTAGACTGTACATTTTATACATAAACCTTAATCATCTTATTTATGACTAGATAAAATACTTAATAAAAAGTATAAATTACTATTTCCTTCTAGTCTCAGAAAAAAAACACAATCAAAGTATATCATAAACAAATTGAACTTTAATTACATCGATTTTCAGAAAATTATCTTACCTTGAAAATTGCTTCTTCCAGCAGCAGATTGACAAAAGCTCTCATAAACTTCTCATGAAATTGCCTTATGGGTAAACTCCTGTATTTGTGATTTTCTGTGACATCCTCTTCACCGATGGGACTTGGACAAGCCTCATCTTCATTATCCAACGATGAAAGAGCAAGATTGTTCTGCAAACCATTGATGGTCGCCGAATTCATAGACACCTTTCCCAGAGCGTTGTCTGCTGTCTGAGGCACTAACTGATCCGAGGTTTCCTCATTCGCCGGCATGATTGATGCACCGAGGCTTTCCATGGTCTGGTCCCGAGATGCTCGTCAAGTTTCCTTTATACTTATTAATTCCCGCGGACCAAGGACAAGATCGTTGCGTGTTAACTACCTTCGGTTTGTTTAGAGATAGTTTGCGACTGGTTTTCCCTTTTCTGCTTCTTTCCTCAACTCCAATTTTGCTTAATTGAGGTGTTTGAGTACTACTGAACTGGGAGCTTTCTGTGCAAGTACCAGAATGGAATACCAAAACAGTTTTTATGCCTTTATGCCTTTAAATGTATCTTTGATCATTTCTAATAGACAAATAGAATTTATTAGGAAAAAGTGCACAGCAAAGTAATGTAAACATTCTACTATTTAAAAGTTAAATGCAATCCATTAATCCATCGATTTATGCAAAACGATTATGTGGACACAACAAATATTTTCCTCAATAATGACCCTCCCTGACCTGTTTATTACACCACGTTATACGTGGTGTAACAATAATAGCACGACTCGAAAGCTGCTTGTTTCATAAATAAAACAAAATACCTTTTGAATAAATTGAAATGTATCGAAGCTTATTCGAGTAAAACGAAAATAAAATGAAATTCTATTGAAAAATTGAAATCTTAAGAATATCCTAATGATAATATTCGTACTTTGACTAAACCGTTTAGAAGAAATTGTTATATTGTTCATTTATATTAATTTTATTTCATTGTTTGTAAATTATGGACATGCAGATAATCTAGCATCTTACAGTGATTATGCAGTCTTTAATAACACAAGAGAAAAATACTTGGTGCATATATGCATAAATACATATGCATGCTCAGAATTGCAAAAGTGGAAATATGTTATTCACGTATCTCATGCACGCTATCACGGATTATTTGGATCAAACTTTCTTAGTGACTATTCAGCCGATTATAGGTAAACGATTAATATTCATTAATTATATACAGCAATTAAGACTTTTTCCATGGAATGTTAATAATCCTTAGCGCATATATCTAATCCTTTATAAGTAATTGTTGTAATCAATTATACTCTGTCATCTCAAGTTAAAGAATTATTTTTATCATATCACAATCTGATTATCTAAGCAGATATGCCTTTGACGTCAATTCTTAATGGACGAAAATTCTTTATCCACACATTGTGAGTAACAGTATAAAAATACCCGATAATGCTATATAAAATATATTAACACTTTTTACAGATTTTGTACGCTGTATATAAATCTGCAAATTTGTTTATTTCCTGTGTATAACTTTCTAAGAGTAAAGTAACGATTAAAGTGTAAAAGAGACTTAATAAAACACGATAAAAAGATTGATAAATTCAACAAGTTTTAATACCAATTTCAGTCTTTACATATTGTTCATAAGAATTAATTTTCTTAACTATAAAGTCTCTGCATTAACATACTTAGTATTCAGTGTAAAATTAAATCAATTTTCGAAAATTCACACATTGAAAAATTTAAATTGATAGATTCAAATGGATATTTTACTAAAAGAAGACAAACACCACACATATCAAAGTATGAAATCTATATTTTTCATGCGCATACCATGTACAGGTAGCAATAAATTCCACAGATGTTACAGTAGCAGAGCGATTCCCTGTTTCTTAGTACTGTTCTTTGTATAATAATATACATCATAATGTGAGCAATTAATATGTATTATCATTAAGATTTTGCATTCATACATTCACATCATTATAAACATATCGGCTTTCCGCTGATTACATTTTCGCATAAGGGAAACAATAAATTGATGGTTTCCCTTGAGATTCAAACATTTTATATAAACTCTAAAAAATCAAGTTATGCACCAAAAATCGTTGCTACACAGTATTAAGTTTTACAGGGAGATAAAAGTGTCAATCTCAATCGTATTAACATGTATTTTAACAAAAGTTATAAACTGGTTGTATGGAAGTTCTAACGAACTCTGTGTCAGACATCTTTGCATCTTTTTACATTCGCTGTGCATTGAATGCGCACGTTACTGGCTCTAATGTTACAAATAAATTTACAATTTTACATTCTTATAAAATACATTAAAATAACGCCCTAAAAATATAACATAACGCTTCTTTGAATTCATTGTTATTATTAAAATGTATTGCAGAAAAGTATATCAAGATTAATCATATATTTTTTTATACAACTATAAAAAGTATAATTTTCATTGGATTTAAAATGAATCTAACTTGCATAAACATCAGGTGAGCTGTATGGCTTACCGTGAAGTGTGTATCAGACTATTTATATAGCTGCATAAAATTGATAAAAAATTATTTTTCAATGTGTACTTATCAATATACCTAGCTTTAAACCTTACAACTATTATATTATTTTGATCATAACAAATTAATTGAAGTAGGCACCACAATTGGAACAACGTCGTGTTTTTAACATTAAACAGCAAATTATCCCAATAGGGAAAAGACAAATTGCACACAGTAATCCAAGACATGAATAATCATCTTCCATTACACCCACCTACATTTGAAAAGTATAACATTAAAAACTTTATAAAACATCACAAAACAACTTATAGCTTAAACCAAGTAAAATAAATCTGACAAGAAAAGGCTATATACAGCAAGAGCTTGCAATTATTAGTGTTAGATTCTATTTTATATAATTTTATGTATACAAAATTCTGTGCTACATTCAAATTCTAGACAAAAAAAAATATATATATATATACTAACATACTTACTCTACAGGCAGGACATCCACCGACTACAACAATATCAGGTTCAAGGAGTGTAGTTGTTGATTGTGTAGAACCATAAGATAGTACAAAGTTATGATTATTAGGTGTACTTGCACTNAGATATGCCTTTGACGTCAATTCTTAATGGACGAAAATTCTTTATCCACACATTGTGAGTAACAGTATAAAAATACCCGATAATGCTATATAAAATATATTAACACTTTTTACAGATTTTGTACGCTGTATATAAATCTGCAAATTTGTTTATTTCCTGTGTATAACTTTCTAAGAGTAAAGTAACGATTAAAGTGTAAAAGAGACTTAATAAAACACGATAAAAAGATTGATAAATTCAACAAGTTTTAATACCAATTTCAGTCTTTACATATTGTTCATAAGAATTAATTTTCTTAACTATAAAGTCTCTGCATTAACATACTTAGTATTCAGTGTAAAATTAAATCAATTTTCGAAAATTCACACATTGAAAAATTTAAATTGATAGATTCAAATGGATATTTTACTAAAAGAAGACAAACACCACACATATCAAAGTATGAAATCTATATTTTTCATGCGCATACCATGTACAGGTAGCAATAAATTCCACAGATGTTACAGTAGCAGAGCGATTCCCTGTTTCTTAGTACTGTTCTTTGTATAATAATATACATCATAATGTGAGCAATTAATATGTATTATCATTAAGATTTTGCATTCATACATTCACATCATTATAAACATATCGGCTTTCCGCTGATTACATTTTCGCATAAGGGAAACAATAAATTGATGGTTTCCCTTGAGATTCAAACATTTTATATAAACTCTAAAAAATCAAGTTATGCACCAAAAATCGTTGCTACACAGTATTAAGTTTTACAGGGAGATAAAAGTGTCAATCTCAATCGTATTAACATGTATTTTAACAAAAGTTATAAACTGGTTGTATGGAAGTTCTAACGAACTCTGTGTCAGACATCTTTGCATCTTTTTACATTCGCTGTGCATTGAATGCGCACGTTACTGGCTCTAATGTTACAAATAAATTTACAATTTTACATTCTTATAAAATACATTAAAATAACGCCCTAAAAATATAACATAACGCTTCTTTGAATTCATTGTTATTATTAAAATGTATTGCAGAAAAGTATATCAAGATTAATCATATATTTTTTTATACAACTATAAAAAGTATAATTTTCATTGGATTTAAAATGAATCTAACTTGCATAAACATCAGGTGAGCTGTATGGCTTACCGTGAAGTGTGTATCAGACTATTTATATAGCTGCATAAAATTGATAAAAAATTATTTTTCAATGTGTACTTATCAATATACCTAGCTTTAAACCTTACAACTATTATATTATTTTGATCATAACAAATTAATTGAAGTAGGCACCACAATTGGAACAACGTCGTGTTTTTAACATTAAACAGCAAATTATCCCAATAGGGAAAAGACAAATTGCACACAGTAATCCAAGACATGAATAATCATCTTCCATTACACCCACCTACATTTGAAAAGTATAACATTAAAAACTTTATAAAACATCACAAAACAACTTATAGCTTAAACCAAGTAAAATAAATCTGACAAGAAAAGGCTATATACAGCAAGAGCTTGCAATTATTAGTGTTAGATTCTATTTTATATAATTTTATGTATACAAAATTCTGTGCTACATTCAAATTCTAGACAAAAAAAAATATATATATATATACTAACATACTTACTCTACAGGCAGGACATCCACCGACTACAACAATATCAGGTTCAAGGAGTGTAGTTGTTGATTGTGTAGAACCATAAGATAGTACAAAGTTATGATTATTAGGTGTACTTGCACTCGGATAATATCCTGGAGGTGGAGGTGCTGAAGTATATGACCCATCTTGCGAAGGTGCATGTTGATATGAAGGAAGTACTATACAATGTTAAACTTATATAACAATAGTTAAAAATACTTAAAATAAGAAGTAAATTTCAGAAAAAAAGTGGAAGTAAAAACAAATTTCTATGACTATTTTCAAGAAAAGATAATTCAAATAAAGAAACAGAAAGGCTATTTTAGTATTAAATATTGATAAATTTAATTTGCAATCCCTCGTAAAAGCGAAATACGACATTCCTAACGCTTTTCGAACAAAACACTTGTTCCTAAAAAGTCCAGATTAGAAATTATTAGAAAAATACGTGACATCGCACGTAATTGCGATAATAATTCTAATTTTTATTTTTAAGCGAGACTGAGACTTAAATATTCTAAATCTGAATATTTATTTACGCTTACCTTCATCAGAAGTATTTTTGGTGAAAGATGGAGGTATGTCAATTACCGTAGTCATCATTCGACGATGAAATCGATCGTTTTATCAGTACAAACGTCCGATTGATCGACTAATTACATCATTAGCATTGGTAACTCGGTGGCTAAAATTTTTTTGACAGCTAATACCGCGGATAATATCACGTGAAGCACTCTCAAAACAAATAACACATCCTTCTCTTTGTTTAGGAGCGTTCACCGAATCCCGCAAGATTAATACCTTCAACAATTTAATAATACTACATTACGAATTCTGGTTGAAAAATATAACATATTTTTATGTTTTAAAATACTTCCATATACGATAAAAAATGCAAAAAAGATGTTTTACAAGTAGTACATACCTCGTTAATAATTACGCTTTAAATTTACACCCTTCAATTAAAGTATCCGGTAAGTACTACTTATGTATTTATTGATTGGAAAATAACTTTACATTGGTCAGTTCATCGCAAAGTCATCCATGCATTTGTGTAACGCAGATTATACTTACAGAGGCGAAACTACAACAGTTTTTGGCAACCGATTTTTTGAATATGTATTCAAGTGCGCATGCGTGTACAACTTTGTACAGTTTCATGAAGCGACAACGCTGTCAGTAAATAGTTCATCAAAGTTGCTCAATTTGGAGACGCGGACATAAAAATTGCTAATAGGACTTTCGGTTTAGGTCTAATTTATTATTCAATTCTTGTACAAATACATTCTCTATGATGGAAAGAAATAAAATGTGTGTGAAAAAGAAAATCTAGTTAGAAAACTACATTGCGCAAAATTTGAAATGAACTTTATTTTATGAGAGCAAGGCCATTTTGTCTAAAGTGCAATACAGTATAAATTTACAAAATTGTTTGCGTATACATATTAGGTATATTTAATTAGAATTAGAATTTAAATTGCTCATTTTAAGCGATTTCTGTATCCAGATGTTTAATAAATGTGATTAAAATATTACAAACTATATTTGAGTATTCGAAAAATTTCAATGCATATTTAACTGTTTCGAATGGGAGTTTTTAGTAAATTTTTATTCAATGTATCAAATTGCCGTTTCCCGCCGGAAACGCGATACACTGATACAGAGGGCGTACATAGTTGGCAACCGTGAGCGTGATCTCTATCGCTTTCTACCATCTACAACCATCGATCGCTCATTGCGAAGTGGTTCCATAATTTTTTTTTACCGATATCGGCTGAGATAAATTTCGCAGAATACGAAATCACTCTGAAACGCTTACATGAAGTGTGCAATTTTCCTTCGTTTCGCGATTAAGTGAAGGAAATCATGACGACGGCACTGTATTTGGAGCATTATTTAGACAGTAAGTATACAATCCTTCTTTTTGTCCTCGTCGAAACTGTGAAAAAACAATCGTACTTGTTGTATGTTCAGTCGAGTACAATACCACATAAATATTTAATATTATATATTATGAACCTTTTAATTCTATCAGCGAGATTTAACAATTTACCCTATGTTAACTGTAGAAGCGAGATGACATAAAACGAAACGTAGATGAAAATAAACAGTGAAAGTTTTTTATTGAAAAAGAATTCGGTACATGTAGGGTAGATATTGCCTAAGTTCCACAAACTAACAACTTATTAGTATACAATTTTGTTAATGCAAATAATACATCTAGTCCAACAAAAATTCATTTCTGTTCTGATGTAAGCATTTGAAAATTACAAAGAATGTTTCATGTATACATTTTGGTCCAGTTTATAATATTCTTTTGTATCATATAGGTTTGGAGCATTTACCCATTGAATTACAAAGGAACTTTACATTGATGCGAGATCTAGACACCAGGGCACAGGGTTTAATGAAAGATATAGACAAATTAGCAGATGATTATTTAAAAAACATTAAGAAAGAATCTCCTGAGAAAAGAAAGGAACAATTTACACATATACAAAATTTATTCAATAAGGCAAAAGAGTATGGAGATGACAAAGTTCAATTAGCAATACAAACATATGAATTAGTAGATAAACACATTAGAAGACTAGATTCAGATTTGGCAAGGTTCGAAGCTGAGATACAGGACAAAGCTTTAATCAGTAGTAGAGCACAAGAAGAGAACAATGCTAGTAAAAAGGGTAGAAAAAAGTTGAAAGAGAAGGAGAAACGAAAGAAAGGTGCTGCAGGTGCCAGTAGCGAAGACGAGTTAAAAACAGCTAGGAAGAAACAGAAGAAAGGTTAGTTTGATTGCCTTTATATTTTCTAACAATTTGTCAATAAAAAATTATAATACTCTTTTCAATACCTAGGTGGATCTGTAGCTTCTGCATCATCTGCTGGTGCTGTAGGGAGTGGAGCACAAGTGGATTCTGGCGCACTTGGGCACCCAGCAGATGTCTTGGATATGCCAGTTGATCCGAATGAACCAACATATTGTTTGTGTCATCAGGTCTCTTATGGAGAAATGATTGGTTGTGATAATCCTGATGTAAGTCTCTATATTTTAGTATGTTTCCATTATCTATTTATTATTCTCATACAAGCATAATATTATTGTCTTTTCTTTACACAGTGTCCCATAGAATGGTTCCACTTTGCTTGTGTTGGCTTAACTACGAAACCTAAAGGAAAATGGTACTGCCCTAAATGCACGCAAGATAGAAAAAAGAAATAGGTCTTAAGGATCGCGTACAATTGTTGGTTGTATTTTAAAGAAAAAGACTCGTACATTATTTCTAAAATTAGCATATATAAACACTTTTCATGGTTTAACATGAAATGAAATTGAATTGTATAAAAAAAGGTAAAAAATTTGGAAAAAAAAATGAAACAAGAGGGGAAACAAAAAGAAAGTGCTAATAGCTGAATTTATATTGAATCCAACGTTGCTACAAAAGAGTATATCTTTTTTTAGGAACAGACGGATATTGAATATATTTGTCATGTATTGCCGGCAATGTTAGATATAATGAAATTACAGCAAAATGTTAGCTAATCACAGAAATGAAGAATTTGAGAATCGGCCATGATTATTATTCTCCCTTCCTATGTTTCTCTTTTTAGATGTACAAAGTAGTAATTTATTATAAAGAATTAAAATTCAAACAAGAGCTTTACAACTTTCTATATCATTTTTTCGTTGGCCGCTTTTTGAACATCTGTGATTCGCTTCTCAAAGTTCTGTCTTTAAACTAAGTATTGACACGTAATTATAGTATTAAAATTAAAATTATTACTGTTTTTATATTTTATAAATGTAAATGACACTGTATAGAGAGTAAGATTTTTGTTGAAATAAAATATACAATATAAATAAACTTTTTATATATAATTACGAAAAATATATTTAATTCGACGAAAGAGATATCTAAATACTAATTGTTTATAAATTTATGCACTATATTTACAAATACCATTAAATGCTATGGTAGGATATGTATAGCATTAATAGAAAATTCTATTAAGTCTCCAAGATAAATTAGTTTCTTAGTGAAGAATAAATATTATAATCAGCTTTATGGATATACTTACCAAATAAATTATTCCAACTATTGCACTATACAGAATAAATCTGTGCAATTGCTTTAAAAAATAATGACTAGAATATTGACTGCGTAAAGAGTAATCATTCATTCATTATGGAATGCCTGATTGTAGATTGCAACACTGACTAGGTGGAACAGTCCAGTTGTACTGGTAGCTCATTCGATTTCTGGTTTCTTTCACACACAATTCTCCAGATGCTTGGTGATATTCATGCATATTTTTCATATTTGTAATTGTTTGTTTATGTGTAACTATATACTGGTTAGAACAACCACGTGATCTATACTCTGTATCAAAACGCACATCGTGCTTTCTTTCAATATTTGCCAGTGGAGCTAGCCAGAGACCAATGGACACATCTTCTGCTTTATGTAACCTGAAAATTAATTAATTGGATATACATATGTATATCATGTATATCATCATATCGATTAACAGAAGGATTAATATTTAACTTACTTGAGAATGTCCATGTTCAATGCAATAAACTTGACTAAATTATAGGATAAAACATATCCACCTCCAAGTGCATAAGGAAGATAATAATCGCACAATATCCAATCAGTTTCCTTCCAAGGTCCACTTCTCTTAACAGAAGCTTTTCCATTGAAGAAGCCCCAATACAGTTCCTTTTTAGTTCCTTTATTATCCCATTTATCCAATTCTTTCAGAACTTTGTGTACCAGTACAAACGAATCATCGTCACATTTCATTAAATAATTGAAGTCATATTGCTCATAAATTTCTTTTAGAGCATATAAGACCTTTTTCGTTAACGTTCCATAAGAGTCTATCAATTTTGGTAGTAAAAGCAAATCATTAAACCTATGTTTCTCTGACAGCAAAGTTTCCCTTTGCTCTGGTAATATGTTGACAGTACCTATCACAAATAGATGCCTTACAGTAGCATATTTTTGTGCCAACCATGTTTTTCTAATAGTAGCCCTCCATTCCAAATTATCAGGGCTGGAGAGTATAAGTATTACAAGTCTGTATTTTGACTTATTTTTCATCTCCTGTGTATCGGATGAACATTTTGTAGAAGGCAAGAAACGAATGCACAGGAAGATAAACAGCAATATCATCAACAACGTTGGAATGTTCAGTTTCAAGTAAAACCTTTTTCTAATCATTGTGGAAAAATTCTTCGATGATGATCTTGATGGTAGAAGCGTCATTAAATCCATTCTGCAAATATGTTATTGACAGTTTGCATATCTTAACCTTCCCTAATATTATCTCCGTACATTCACGATCTGACGTATAAACATTCTCTCAATAGATTTTCCTTTTAAACATGTAACGTATTTTATTGCTTTAACATTTTTCTTGAAAAAATATATATTTGCTTACGTTAAAAAGTTTAATTTAATCTACGACGATCAGCTGATCAGACTCAACGAAATTTACAAATTATCCCCTCCACGATTATGTTCCATTTTACCCCTACCACACAAACAAAATTTAAATTCAAACTCTCGAATGAAGTTTTATTTAATTTAATATGAAACATATTAACATTTTTTCAT